TTCTAAAAATAAACAATTCATTCTAATCTCCGTTCTAACTTCTGAATTTTTTCCTACTCTGCATCTTCTAAAAATAAACAATTCATTCTAATCTCCGTTCTAACTTCTGAATTTTTTCCTACTCTGCATCTTCTAAAAATAAATAAATCATTCTAATCTCCGTTCTAACTTCTGAATTTTTTCCTACTCTGCATCTTCTAAAAATAAATAAATCATTCTAATCTCCGTTCTAACTTCTGAATTTTTTCCTACTCTGCATCTTCTAAAAATAAATAAATCATTCTAACCTCCGTATTTTTCTGTCCGCAGCGCCCAAGAGCGAGTACGGCGCGTTCGCCGGGGGCACCGGCCGGACCAACTTCAGCACCAAGCAGCTCACGGAGCTCGAGAAGGAGTTCCACTTCAACAAATACCTGACGAGAGCGAGACGAATCGAGATCGCGTCTGCACTTCAACTCAATGAAACCCAAGTCAAGATTTGGTTCCAAAACAGAAGGATGAAACAAAAGAAGAGAATGAAGGAAGGTCTTGTGGCTCCCGATACCCCTACTCCGGCTACCAACGATAACAGTAACGACTCTGATTCAACTGCAACCACAAACTCAAATGGTACTAGCAGTAACGGGCCAAGTTCTACCAACAAGCCGGACTCTCCTTCAACAACTTCAGGAACTTCCAACAACAACAACACTAATGGTAGCAGTATTAACAGTAAAAATGTCAGTAACGTGGACGACTCGCCTGTCAGTAACGGGGTAGGCAACTGTAGTAACAGTAGGGATAGCAGTAAGCTAGGTAGCAGCAGTAGCAACATAAAAACTGCACCCAATAGTGTTTCTAATAAAAATTCAATTAGCGTTTCTCAGACTTTAATGATCACTTCAAAGCAAGCCAAATCGCAAGCGTTGCCCGCCTCCACACACGCGCCACCGTAATACATTATCTATATTTGTTCATCTTTTTGTATGTAATTTAGATCTAATTTATCAGCATTATGGTCGCCATTTTTTCATCTGTTTGTATGTTATTTCAATTTGATTTAATTTTAATCACTAGTTTCAATCCATTTTTTAGCAACTTTTAATCTCTTATCAGAGTTAATGTCAGGTTCTTCAAAATTGTTTCATATTTAATATGCGTCTCAGATTGCGTGTTTGAAGAGAACAAATTTCTTATTACCATTGTTTTTTTCAAATATTTAATCTTAGCATCAGAATATCCGAGTTGCTGTTACAAGCTAATTGATAAATATGTTTATTCTGTATATGCTTTATTATATTGTTAAAATACGAGCAGCGACTTGAACTAAATGTTTATAACTGGCACTTGTTTATCAATGTCTACAAACTGTATATTAAAATGCGCAAATACATCGTTCACGGACTGTACGCTAACCTGTAGCGGTTACTGCTTATACTGGTACCTGTAAAAATTTATCAATTCCAATTCAAGTTTCTCAATCGACATGTAACGACATGCAATTAGCGGTCTTAAATAATATACAAAATAATAAGAAAATTTTCAACAATTGCAAAAAATAGAATAATTCAAAAATCTATATTCCTTATTCAAAATTCCCCATGAACTTGATGAATTTTAGCAGCCAATAAATGCTACTCATTCTAAATAATCTCACGAACGACATGATGATAAATCAAAAAATCATATCTCACAAAGTAGAGTTAAAATGGGTAATTTGCCTGGTAATGGGACAGTTGAATCGCATTTGTATTCATTGAAGGTAATAAATCATATTTTGTTCATAGTAGACGAAACTATTGGCTCGCATCGAGCTGTTCGTGAGCGGCACCGAGATCTATGCAGCTGCTAAGGATGCATTTCCAGTAGCTCTCTACCATCCACGAAGTGAGAGAGCCGTAAAAAGTATCATCAACTTTCTCAAGTAATAAAGGAGAATGATAAACTAACGCGAATGATACATGATAAATAGAACTCAATCAATAAAATAATCAAGCAAAATATCTCCCTCTCTCTCTCTCTCTCTTCATCTTAATCATTATATTTCACCCGACTTTTTAGTCAACGAACAGAATAAATATGAATAAAATCTCAAATTTTAATGACTTTCGTTTGTAATAATGGAGAAACGGCTCCGAATTTTCCAATTACATTACACGAACAATCAGTATATTTAAAATCTGTATTGAAGGATTGTTTATTCGCAAAACGCGTTTGAACTAATCGGTGTCAAATAAGAAAAAGCTATTTCAATTTCTTACTGATCTTAGGAGATTTGAATATTTAACTTACTTCGTATACTTAAAACGAATCTTCAACTATCAATTTCTTGCAAGCTATAACAATGAATAAAAGCGTCTCTTGTATGGAAAGAAGAAAAAACGTAAGAATCTGTTTATTATTGATCTCTTGGTTTGAATTTTAATACATGCGCATGCTGATAAATTTCACCAGATTTCGGATAAAAATCCATCCAACAAATAGATAAACTAAATTGAGTTCTAGAAGCGATCGAGACTTCATGGAAGTCATTGTTCACAACTATGATCTATATCATGCAAGTTTCATTACTATTCGTACGTGTACAGAATGTACAGGTTGTTCGTACGCTTACGTACTTCACAAGCTTCAGGGAAACTGGGAGGAGGGGGCGAGAACGGTATCCTGGATACCGTCATAGCATATCATTGTACCATACAATCGAATGTATATCAAGAAATACTTTTGTAATATAACGAATCATTGATGCTTTTGTTTCTGTTAACCTTTAAAAAAACTTTTTTATTGGATGAAATACGTAGAACTCTTACAAAATTATGAGGAGAAATGAAACATCATGAAATTATATAACAACATATATAGTCACTATTGAGCGAGATATTTCATAAATAATGAATGACATCTATAAATAATAAGTGAAGCACACCCCAAACTGCAAAACCAATGAAGCCACTCACTTAAACATATCACGAAAGTGATTACCATGTCAATCCATATTTAATTTCACGTTAATTTCGGTCGCTTGAAAATTCAAGGCTGGCCGACCGACATTTATGCACCGATAACAATTGTATTAAAACTGATTTCATATGTTAAAATGTAATTCCAAGGGATTTTTTGACACTATTGTGTCTAATTTATATAAATAATAATTGAAAACATTATATACGTAGTGTATTTGAATGGTTCAGATCTTCATTTGATGCAACCAACCTCCTACTCGCCTGCCGTGGCTACCGCTAAGCCGCGCTCTGCCCTACCCTCCAATTTAATCTAATTCTGCCCTTCCCAGCAATTGGCCTTTTTTTGTTACTTTCTTGCCGGAATTTTTTTCTCATGTTGCCGGTGTTGCGCGGCCAAAACTCCGGCCCAAAATGGCGGCCACTGCTTCAATGCCGACGCGCGGGCCATCGATCGCGACGGACGGAAGGTTTTCAGTAAAAACATGCGAAGTTTCCTTCATTGAAGTTTTTCAATAAAAGAACAAAATATTTGTTCATTATAAAATAAAATTTTTCATTATTTCCAGCATTTTTTTCAGTTTAAAAATTTATTTTTTTTTAATTTTAATATTACATAAATAAGCGAGAAAGGAATTTAAATGCATCCACACGGCAATCGTGAACCGCGCAGCGCATTCGCTATGATTAATTTTCGGTATACAAGATATTAAATATTTCTGATATATTTATTTTAGGAACAATCAAACGGTAATAGTTCCTGATATACTCATAAGATCAGAAATCAAATAGTAATTTGGCCTGATACTAACATTAGATTCGAATGTATATATTAATCGTGCCAGACATATTTATTTGGGAAAAATGTTATTTTGCTCGCCTCCCTTTTTTTCTCCGGATGTAATACATAGAATATGAGGATAAATCGAACAATAACGATGCCCTAGTCTGTATAATATAATGTAACATAATATAATATGGCATAATATAATATAGTATAACATAATAAAATATAATATATATTACCACGAATATGATAAAACTCCAAAACAGTAATAGAACGTGAAATTTTGTTTCATAATTAACTGTGCTTGTCCGCACATCGTTTTAATCTAAGTTTATAGCAGACCCTAATTTCATTTTCGGGATATAATAAAATGTGTAATGTAAGTTAATATAATACATACAATTTTCATAAAAAGTATTAATCGGTATTTATTTAGATTTTTCTATTATAATTTAAGCACTTCATCGTATATAGAAACGTGCCCATAAAGTGCATTTGCCTAAGTGACTAAATTACAAATTGATTTTGGATTTAGCCCATGATCTATTATACTAAATCTGATCTGATATTCAGATCTAATTTGTAACAAAATTTCATTGATTTGTGGTTATTGTGTTTATCGATGTTTTAAACATTTATTTATGCAGATAGGGAAACCTGCATTGCTATAAATAACTTATTTAATATATTGAATCTCTTTTATACCTTTCGTAGCTTCTCACAACAGAATATCAATCAAAATGCAGAACTCAATTTTATTTAAAGGCTCAATTAACTTCTTATAAGCTTCGTATGCAATGCGTGCAACGCTTCATGCATAAAAAACGAAACTGGATTCATAGCATCCTCTTTCATTCACTACAGATATAAGAGTTCAAAATTGTGAGAGAGTTTATTAACCCTGAAGCTCGTACAGCAGGTGAGATAATTATTTCTCTTATACACATCTAA